ATATTCTTTATTTTTATGTTATTAAATACAAAAATGATAATAACAGTTTGATATGTCTATGAAAACGATATGTCAATAATAATAATAATAATAATAATAATAATAATAATAATAATAATAATAGTTCGATTTTCTCTATGATAATGAAGCATCTTATATCAAAATACGTAGAAGGATGAAACTGTCAAACATATGGGGAGAGGAGGAGAAGCAAAATGGCAGAAAATGATATAGTCATAGTCTGTGAGCATTTACTGGTATGTCAACTCTCATATTACGTCTTTATGACATACAAATTGGAAACCAAAAGAAAAAATGATTCACAAAAAATTTAGTATATTAAAATCTATGAATTTGTGCTAGAACTAGAACTGATCTCACATGTACCCAAGAGCTGATCCAGCAAATCAGATCCTAAATCCTCAAAAACGACAGGAGTTTTTGGACACTCTTGATTCTTATTGTTTCTCTTACATTTAGAAATTCTTCTCACTCTATGAGTCTCCTTTATGACTGCTGCTGGTGAAGATCCATCCTTGAAACAACTGTAGCTTTTCCCCTTTAATGACTCTTTCACTCTCTCCATTGGGAAGTTGAGTTGTGTAGAGGAACCCCTCATTGAAAATGCGGCTTGGTCATAAATTAAAGCCGCTTCTTCTGCACTGTCGAACGTCCCTAGCCATACCCTAATCCCGTTTCTTGTGGAATCCCTAATTTCTGCTGCAAACTTTCCCCAGGGCCTTTTTCGGACGCCTATAAATCGTGTTTTCTGGACATCAGGCTCTTCTTTTGGCTTTGTAATCACTTCTAAGATCTGCTCTCTGTCATGAGAAGTTTTGCTTAGATCTATTTCAGACGAAAGCTCATAATGGTCGTCAGTAGGATTCTGGAAAATAATATTTTCTTCTTTTATCTGGACTTCAGCTGAGAGCATCTCGTGAGAGAAGATAAGCTCATCCCATGAACAAGGAGACATAGGAAAGAATTCTAGATTTGGAAATGAACACATTGGTGTAGGAAGTTGTATCTTTAGGGAAGATTAGATGGCTTTAACAGTCTGAAATTTGAAGTGGTTGTCAATGGGACCAAAGGCTTACACCTTTTCTTCTTGTCTTTCCTTGACAAGTGGATGGAGTTTTGCTTTATTAATTATAAATAATCTCCATTCATCAATAAATATTAATTGAGGTTTCGCATCTAGGGTCCATGGGCTTGATTCTTTTCCACTTGAGTCCCTTATATATAATTGATTAATTCTAGGGTTCACATAATAGGGTGGTTGATCCTTTTCCACTTCAATCCCTTATAATCGATTTATTCTAGAGTTCACCTAGTATTTTTGCTTCTGTCAGTTGGAGCATGCTTTAAATATTCTAGAGTTATAATCCTTGCATGCTGGTTGGAGAGCATGCGTAGGTGACATTTCATCTAATATCACTATGTGTCGGGTTTTTAAGAAATACATCCGGTTCTAAGGTTGTAATAATGCTTAAATTTATTGTATCTGCTAGGGACTCGTAAAATATGAGCTTGTGAAACCTAGCTAGTAACATATTCTCATCATGAGACTTTTGCATCTAAAACAAGATATGAAGCTAAGCATGTACTATCAATTAATTGTAATTCGATTGATTAATTAAACATTTTTTTTATTGTTTATGAATTATAATAAGTTGTTGCAAGAAAATACGGACCCCGCCTCTATGTATAGTTTCATAGAACATAGCCTATAGTTACTTATTAGCTTTAGAAATTACAACAATACAAAGTAACAAAATATGATTTAGTGCTAGAGCACTAAATGTGTTGCACGATGTAAAACCTAATGTATCTGCCGTAATATGCTTATTTTGTTGGAAAACGTGAATTTTCTTCAATTTGAAAACTTGTTTTTTTGACCAAATTTTAGTACGTGGAAATCAAGATATTTAATATTTTTTCAATATTATTTAGTTTGGTTTTATTAATTCTCCTTGAGAGAGCTTTGAAACTATATATCTTTTTTTAGAACAGTAGTTTTTTATTTCATTGAAACAACATAGCTGAGAATTAAGCTAGGTTACAAAACCAATAAGCAAAACCTAGATAGGGTTAGAGAAACTATTGCGCCCATTTTAAAGGTGTAAATGAGCCGAGCTGAAGTAGGTTTGGGCTCGGCTCTTTTAAATTTGTGGAGCTCGAGCTCGGTTTGTTTCGATCTTAATTTTAAAAGCTTAGCCTTGGCTCATGGAGAGGTTAACTCATGGTCTTATATGTTCAAAAAAATTATAAAATGATATATTGAAAAGAAGTTCGATTCTTATATTTTAACAATTTTGAAAATTGAAACCAAACAACCTTTTGGTCCTCCTCGAAAACAAGTTTCTTTTTTGAACCCATTTATAAAGATATAGACTATAAAGTGAAAATAGAAAATTAAATTTTAGATTTCGAAATTTTTTTAAAAAATAAATCATATAGGTGATACCAATAATAAATAGACATCAAATTGAACATTTAACTAGTGATTTTGATTATTTTAGTATCATAACTTGCTTGTATATTCAAATGATATAAATTAATGCATGTGTGATAATTATATCATTTAAAAGTTAAATGATTTTTTTGGTTTTTGCGTAACTATTTTATTTAATTAAAGGTTAAGTGATATATATATATATATATATATATATATATATATATATATATATATATATATATATATATATATATATATATATATATATATATATACTTCCATTGTTTTTTATGGATTATTAGAAGATGTTTTTTGTGTTTTTATTGAACAATTTCAAATTTTCACTAGAGTTTTTTGTAATAAATTTCAATATATCGAATTATATGTAATTAGTAAAATATTCTTATACACGGTTTGTGGTACAAAATTAAATTTTGTTAAAATTATGTAGTTTTTGATTGTTAGACCTAATATTATGTACATAATAGTTACATATTCCTCAACCCTTATATATATATATATATATATATATATATATATATATATATATATATATATATATATACACACACACACACACGTGTACATCTTTCCCTCCTCTCCTCATTCAAGGTCAAGAGATGGTCATGCCCCTTACTTGTTTGACATGTAAGCATGTGATGATATGGAAAATGGTTGATATGTTGCTTCCACTTCTCATTTTCCTCTCTCCTTGATTGTATGTGTAAATATGCACACATGAATTCATTTTCTAAGGCTTGTTAAAAAATGAACTAGATACATTCTGTATCTCTTGAAGCAAAAAAATTGGATTTTTGCTTTCAAGATTAAGAAGTTATCTATACAAGAGAAGAACTAGTATTTAAAGGTGTTGAAAATTTGTGGTTGACTTTCTCTAGAGGAATTCTTTCTTAAGTTTTTCCATCTTCATTTACTTCCAAACTCCAAAGATGATTAAAGAATTCAAAGGTTATTATTCTTAAAACTATTTGTGGTTGTCTTTAACCTTACATGTACATGTAAAAGGGTCCTTGGTAGGTATGTGTCACACCTTTGGCCTGTAGAGGAAAAGTCGGGTTGTGTGGCTTATTCATGGATCACTATTATTAAGAATACATTAAACAGTATAAAAATAACATCATAAATAAAATAAATACATTTATTAAATATTGAATAGAGATTTACATTGTTTCCTTTTTCAAATGCACCATTACATAATATCAAAAATACAATACGCACCTTAACAGATAGGTGTCAAATACAAAAACATGGAACTGTGATTGATAACAAGGAATGCTCATTAGTAAAATTGTGTATGTGTTTGTATCATTGATGACCTTATGTTCTTGAGAATACATACATTTTTTAAAGCATGTCAACATAAAGTTGTTGCGTTAACATGTTTTAATTCTATGTACTTTTATAAAAAATAAAAAAAATAAAAAAAAATAAAAAAAAAAGTATGTTTATATAGTATATAGTTGTTACACCAGCTTATATTAAAGATACTTTTACGACCAATATATATATATATATATATATATATATATATATATATATATATATATATATATATATATATATATATATATATAATACATAAGTGATTTATACTTATATAAATATTACTTTTTCTAATCCAAAAAGTATAAAATATAGTGTCACAAGTCGAGAAAAAAAAAAAAAAAAAAAAAAAAAAAAAAAAAAAAGCTTTCTTCGTAAATGCTTATACATGACAGACAAATGTTTGTCATTGAAAGTCATGTCATAAAGTATAATGATAGGCATTTGGCCTTTCATAAATTTTACGATAGAACTTTATGACCCACAATTAAGACATACATACACAACACACGTTTTCGACATAAGTTTATGATCGGCTTTGTATGTCGTAATGTGTAACATTCTTGTAACTATGACAGACATTTATGCATTTTATACGACATGATTTTTGACATAGTTTCACAACATATTTCCTATGTCATATATATATATATATATATATATATATATATATATATATATATATATATATATATATATATATATATATATATATATATATACTAGGTGTGAAACCCATGTATTACATGGGTTTACTTAAAAAAAAATATGAAATTTTAACAATTTGAAAAGTTTGAATTTATAAGAAAAATGAAAAAAAAAAATTGAATTATTAAAATTATTGAAACTTTAATGTATTGAATACATTACATATATAAACTCTTTATAATAAATACTTTACATATATATTACATTACACATTAAATGTGCAATTTTAATTTAATAAAATGAAAATTACAATAAAATGACAAGTGGAAAATAGAAAATTTAAAAATTTTAGAAAATGCCAAGTGTCCAAATGAAGGAAAAGATGACATGTGGCAAAAAAAAACCTTCATTTATTATAGTAGATATATATTCTAAATTTATACCAAATATTAAACAAACTAGATTACACATTTAACGTCTTATAATGCAAAATAAGATATCATACATATACAAAAATACATTCCATTACACTAACCATAATGTCTAAAGGTTATGTTGCAATTTTGATTTTCATTTGCAGTTTTTGTAAGGTTTTGGTTTCGTCGGAATCACTTATTCCAGTTCTATCATAATCACTAATTCTAGTTCCACCTATAGATATAATTAAATTCTTTTTATTTGGCAACAGAATGTAATCATAGATTATGATTCCAACAGAATCACAAATTCTGATTCCATCAAAATCACCAATTCCAATTCTGTCGGAATCACTGATTCTGGTTCCACCTTCAGATAGAATTAAACTCCGATTATTTGGCATCGGAATGGAATCATATATTCCAATTCCTTCGGAATCACGGATTCCAGTTCTACCCTCATACCCTTCGTATTTTTGTTGACTGTGATAAGCATGGTTTAGCAATGTGTGACCACTTTCCACAAGATCCCTCCTGATATGTACCAGATTGATAGTTTTTGCTAAGTCCTCCAATACACAAGCTTCCGAACCCCACAACTTCAAACAGAATTCCATCGATTCCAACATCGATGTTAAGTCGGCATCCGAACCTTCCAACCCTAAAATAAACTAAGGGTATTTTAGTAATTTCAAACCGCTCTAACATAAACAAACACATACACACACATACACTTGCAGGATATTGAAAGGTAACAGAAATACAACAAATAGAAGGAATAGCAAAGGGTCTCAAGCACCAGCTTGGGCAGTCAAAAGGGTAGCATTCGTTTCTTCAGCAATGACAACATTAGGTCTAGTAGAGCCACCCATTTACTCCAATAGTGCTTGTGGGTTTGATGGAAGCATGTAAACGGTATTATCAGGATTTCAATAAAAATATGAAACTTCTTGATCAATTAAATCTTTTGCAGCATTTGATATATCAATCATAGCTTTACAATTTGGAATAATTGTACTCGATGCATAGTCTCTTGCAGCTAATGGTTGTTGACTTGATCCATTTTTTCACACATGCAAATTCTTGTCACCAAATACGGATGTAATTATGGTGTTTATATCATCCAAAATAAACATGTGATTCACAAGACCCTAAAGAAAAGTCATATATATATATATATATATATATATATATATATATATATACACACACACATACACACACACACATACCTCAAAACTGTAGTAATCACTTTAATAATATGCATACAAAATATAGGAAAATACAACATCTATGGAAAATTTAAGTAGTTCTTCTCCATCATCTAAGGTAAGAACTCTGATCTTGGTATTTGATGCAGCTAATATTTTATCATCTATCATTACAAAAAAAACAAATGTTAGAAGATAAAGGTTAAGATAGTTTAAGGACCATGTGTTGGGAAGACTCACCAGAAAAATATACAGATGAATAGATAAGTTTCTTTCGGATTTTCATTCTTTTAACAGTTTACCAGTTTCATATTTCATTTTGCATGTTGTTCCATCTGTACTTATAGCACAAAGTTTACGCCCTCTTTTTGCAAAAGAAAGAGCAGCAATTCTACTGCAAATGGAAAAGTTCTGAGCTTCAGGTATTATTCCAAATTTGGTTATTTTAACCATGAATAATCATAAAATTTATGATCATGATCATCTTATTATTTCTCATAGCATACCTATGATGATGTCCAGAAGATTTCCATTTTAACTGTGCATAAGTGGTATTAATGGTGAAGACTTCACCATCATCTGTTCCCACTGCCACCAAACAAGTAATGTTTTCTTTTCTGCGCTGAGAATTAAGAGGGAGAAGAATAAATAAGGGATCATGGAGTTGGATATTAAAATATTACGGCAAAAATGGACTATGAGAACTGAGATTTCCAATGCACTATAGAATATTCAAAACTACCTCGGTGGTTTTGGATCCCACACCTGTAATTCAAATGTAATCTCCTACCGGGATCTCTCACATAATCCTATAAATGATTTTAAAGCTCATAAATAATATATTCAATCCAATCTTTTTTAAAATATATTAATAAAACTACCTGCAATTCTTGAAAGATAATTAAGACTGATTTATCTGTAGAAATGGAAGAAAGGATCTCAAGTATTATAGATTTGACTTGATATGCATCTAAAGTGTTTATAAAAAGGTCTTCAAAATTCGGAGCAAAAAGAGAAGGCATCACTTTTGTAAAGACTTGAATATTGCAGAGTACCTATGTCAGTTTCAAAAACCTACTTCTTCAAATAGTATAATAAATATTATTAAAACATTCTACACTAATTTTAATATTGGTTTAAATGTTGCAGAGGACTTGTGTCAATTGAAGAGGACCGTAGTTTTTTTAATCTTAGAAAAGGGTGAATGCTTAAAAGTGGGACAAATGCACCCAAAAGATCAATCTCTTATGGATAGATTCCTTCTTGATTGTTATTACAAACATCTTCATCCCACTCATGGAGAGATTCGTTCATGATTGTCGTTACCATCATCTTCATACCACCTCACCTATTAAAATGGGATTGAAATTTAAAGAATGAAAGTATAAAATAATAAAACTAGTTTCTTTATATGAGGTTGACATGTGAAGTACCATTACTATTTCTTGCACATGGGACAGAAAGGACTAGTGTAATAAAAAGAGTAAATTGTCTTTCTTTTCCAAAGTCGAATAAACTAAAGTGTATTGGTAGACTTCTTCATATTTTTTCGGTCAGTGAATAAGTGAACAGATTTGGTAGAAGATGATATTTTTGGAAATATTAACCCTGAACTAAACTTCATCGAAGAGTTTGTCGAAATAATGGATAGATAGGTCAAACGACTCAAGAAAAGTCGGGTTGCGATGGAATTATAAATGGGGACCATAGTACACATATGAATGAGAGGACCAAATGAAGGACAAGTATTGTCACCTATATGAAGGAAAACCGATGTAACGCCCAGAGATCCGGGCTAGACAATTTAGAGGAAATAAGTGTCGAAAATGACTTTTCGACAAATGATTATTTATAATAAATAATTTTAACCAAGTTGTAGAATATATCTCAAGGGTTCTTTACATATAAAGAACATTGAAATCCGAGTTATAACGAAGAAGTTATGACCCGTTGAAGTTTTACGGCAAAACCGACACAACACCGAGAATCGTAAAAAATGAATTTACGATAAAATACTTTCTAGCCTTAACAATCTAGATGAAAGTCGTTCCATATGTTAAATCGAGAGTGTGCATAAAAAGAACATCTAAATCTGACTTCGTATGAGGAAGTTATGATTTTTCTAAGATTTAGCATAGTAATGCACAACCCGAAATTCGAATTTTAGATCGGTCGATTTTTAACCAAAACAATCTAAACGAGAATTGAACATCTCATTAATAGCAGCTCAACAGTAAAAATAAAGTCGAAAATAGAGCTCGTATGCGAAAGATATGGACGAAGCTTAGTCTCTACTTTTCGAGCGCAACGAATTCGATATAGTTTCGTAAATCTAAGATACAATGAGAATTAGCCAACGGGATCTAAATAAAAGTTGTATTACTCATAAATACCAATGCAAGGATATAAATAACGTCGATAATAGAGCTCGTATGCTAAAGATATGGACGAAACTTAGTCTCTACTCTTCAAGCGCGGCGAATTCGATGCAGATTTGTAAATCTGAAATAGAATAAGAATTGGTCGACGAGGTCTAAATGAAAGTTTTAGTACTTGTCAATACCAACGTGTGGATATAAAGAACGTAGAAAATTGATCTCGTATGCGGAAGATACGGATGAAGCTTAGAGACTACTCTACAATAAAACCCCTATAAATAAAGGGTGAATCATTCATATTTCTCACACCTTTCACCCTCTCTTTCTCTCTCTACTTTCTCTCTCTAAGCCCCCTAACCCCCCCCCCCCTAAGCCTAGGTAAACCCCTAGCACATGAAGGAAGCCACGAGGCTCCCAGAGTCCCGAGAAAAAGGGTCTTTTGGTTCGGAAACGCTGCTTAAAGCGAAGCCCGATTTTCGAGAAAACCCGCTGTAAGTGAGCTATGCCTACGCTGTTTTTAATATAGTTTTTAATTAATTATAGTAATGTTATTAGTACCTTATGGTAATTATTTGGGCTATTATTATGGGCTATATAATTGTTGTTGTAATATCTTTTTAACCACTCACGGTACGGGGAATCTGGTTTGGAGGGTCGCTTGGGTTGCTGGATTCAGAAGTGCTATATGCCAAAATGATCCTGCCCTCCAGTATTGTTTCATGTTTGGCCCTTTTCTGTACATAGTGGGTTAAGAGTATTGTTTAACGCTTATATAATAGTAATAATAGCTAGACTATTAATTAGTATCGGTAAAACGTTAGACTAAACTATAATGGTAATGGTACTAGGTTTTGTCGAAGGAAATTGTTTTAAAGTAAACGAACACCACCTTATCAGGTGGGTGCATAGTTACTTTCATGTTACACAGATACGAAGTATTTTATATAAATTACGTGCTATGTGTACATATTATCTGAATGCTTGTTGTGTATGCTGGATGAATGATTTTATACATGTTTCAAATGAATTAAACTGTATATGTATCTACCAAATATGTTAGCTAAAACATGGGTATATGAAATATGAGTCGGATGATGAGATGAGAGGTGATATAGACCATGAGATAAGGGTGAGAGGTGAACAATGAGAGAAGCCTTTACCCAAATGATGGACCCATCATCTAGCAGATTGTGGATAACAACCACGGACTATTCTAGACAGTCCAGTGGAACACTAGCAGAATTGCAACCTGTAGGTATTGTGAACGATGTGTTCACCCGGTGTACTCTAAACCTTGGCGACTATGCAGACTTAGTGCCTAAACCTTGGCGATCATGCAGACTTGATGCCTAAACCCTGGTGACTATGCAGACTTAGTACCTAAACCCTGGCGATTATGTGGACTTAGTGCATGTTGTATAAACCCTGGCGACTATACAGAGTTAGTGCCTAAACCCGGTGACGATGGACTTCATGCCAATTCCTTAGGATAATCCTTAGGAATAAATAAACGAGGAATAGCTGATTTTTAGGGTAGATCCTTAAGTGTAAAGAAGATAATGGGGATGGGTAATTGGGTTGATTAATTTTTTGAAGATTAAACATAATAATTATATTATTGTGGGTTGAAAACCCTATGTACTCACCAGGTTTCCCAATCTGACCCACACAGTTTAATTATATCACATGTATTGATATGAAGTCACATTACACTAAGAGATGAAGGAGATATAAATCACTAGTGATATTGAATGTAAGTTCTGTTTGTGGTTATGTTTATGTATTGACGATGACATCCCAAATGTTTTAAAATGAATAAAAATACTTTTCTTCGGAAATGCCTTGATAACGTATTTATCAAGTTTTACTGGAAACAAATTCTGCAACATTTTTATTAAAAGAGGTAATCTGATTTTTATCAAGCATAAACAAAATTGGTCTTTTCTGGCCGTGAAAATGGGGATATCACAACCGACAACAAGATAAAATTTTGGGACGAAATTTCCTAAACAGTGGAAGGCTGTGACAACCGAGAGGTTT